GAATCCTGCCTGAGGGCCTCACTGATCACTTCTTGCTCCAGCAGTGACGGTGAAACTGACCCCTCCGCTTCTTCGAGGATGGACACATCCCAGCTGCCTTGCCCTCAGAGCCCTCTGAGCCCCAGGGACATGGCCACAGACACGCCTAGGGCAGGGTTTTGAGAGGAGCCATCAGCTCCAGGGCAGGCGAGGGCTGGGGCCTCACACTGACACACGGGAATGGTCAGTTTGTGTCCTTGAATGAAAACTGGGAAGACACATTCTTTACAGGTTGGCAGAGGAAACATCACTAGCAGACAAAGAGTTCACAGGATGATGTCACGGAGGAAACCCGACTAAGGTCCCGGATGAACTGAATTGTGTCCCCGAATATATGCTGCAGTCCTAGCCCCTGGCACTGCAGAACGTGACCTTCCTGGAAGCAAAAGACCCTGTTTGGCAGCTGTAATTAACTGAGATGTGGTAATCCAGCAGTGACGGTGAAACTGACCCCTCCGCTTCTTCGAGGATGGACACATCCCAGCTGCCTTGCCCTCAGAGCCCTCTGAGCCCCAGGGACATGGCCACAGACACGTCCAGGGCAGGGTTTTGAGAGGAGCCATCAGCTCCAGGGCAGGCGAGGGCTGGGGCCTCACGCTGACACACGGGAATGGACAGTTTGTGTCCTTGAATGAAAACTGGGAAGGCACATTCTTTACAGGTTGGCAGAGGAAACATCGCTAGCAGACAAAGAGTTCACAGGATGATGTCACGGAAGAAACCTGGCTAAGGTCCCAGATGAATTGAATTGTGTCCCCCCAGAATATATGCTGCAGTCCTAGCCCCTGGCACTGCAGAACGTGACCTTCCTGGAAGCAAAAGACCCTGTTTGGCAGCTGTAATTAACTGAGATGTGGTAACACTGGGCCCGAATGTAATCTGACTGCCCCTGTAAGAAGAGTCCACGAGAAGACGAAGGATTGGAACGAGGCATCTACAGATCCTACAAGAGGCCAGGAGGGGAGGGAGTATGGCCACCTGCCAACCCCTCTGTCTAGGATTTATGCTTCGAGAACTGTGAAGAGGAGAAATTTCTGTTGTTTTAAGCTACCCGGTATGTGGTGCAAGCTAACACAGTGATTAAATAGATATTTGGAATCATCACCATGGCCTAGTCTCTCCTTTTCAGGCGAGGGACTGAGGCACAGAGAGGTTAAGTGACTTGGCCATTGTCACACAGCAACAGGGGCAGAGCTGTGGTTAGAATTCAGGCATCTGGGTGGGCAGGTCCATTGCCTTACCACAAACCCAGCCCCAGCCCCCAAGGCAGACTCTACCTGCCTCACTTACCCACGACTAGCTCTCGCACTTCCTTCCAGCGGATATGGCTGCCCGTCTCGTGCAGCAGTGTCACGGTTATCCGTCTCTGGATGCCCTGTCAGGCACCAGGAGAGAGGACACGGTCAGGGAGCCTGGGGGCCATGTGGGGCCGGGGAGGGGGCATGAGGTGGGCTGGGGCAGGGAGGGCCTGGCACCTGGTGGAGCAGGAAGGTCCCCATGCACGGCATGCCGCCACGGTGGTCCACCACTGCAGGGATGTAACTGGAGAGAGAAAGATGTGTGAGGCAGGCGTCTGCCCTCCCCGCAGGCCCAAGCACAGTGGCGGCCCCAGGAGTGGAAGGAGGGAGAACAGGTGAGATGGGAGGCTGTCCGTGGAGACCAGAGTCAGCGGGGCAAGGAACCCATCATGTGCCACCTCCTCCCCCACCATGGCCCTCGGGAACCCCAGCCCCCCAACGCGGGCACACTGAGCCCGGGGACGCACTCGCCGTCGGCCTCCAGCTCACAGATCTCAAAGTGCACCAGCAGGTCGTATTTGCAGTGGCGTGGCCCAGGGCAGGACCGTGTCAGCGTGCTGAGCTTGGTGGCGGGCACTGGGGGTGACAGGAGAGAAGCACGTGCTGATGAGAGACCGGACCCACCACGCCCTGAGGGCTCGCTCAGGGAGGGTGCCGAGGTGGAGGACGCGTCCAGGCAGCGAGCTCATCTCACTCGGAGGAAAGCCACCAGCGGCTCCCCACCCCATGTCCCAGGATGTGCCCACTCAGGCCTCCGCAGCCACTCACTAGCTCCAGATCAGATGTGACCGTGTGCTTCTCCATGCCCATCGGAGGAGCACGTGTCTACACACCCAGCCCTCGAAGAGAGGGTGGTGGCTTGAGATGCCACAGAACCAGCAGACAGCAGGAGCCACACTTGCTCAGAAGCCCACAACCCGCCTGGGATCCCTGCTAGACACTCTGGCCACAGCCTGCAGCGGCACCTGTCCCAGCACCTCTACCCAGCACAGACAAGGCCTGCCCCTCAGGTCCCACTGGCCCTCTACTCGTGACCAATTCCTGACAACAGGCTCAGATGGCCCCAGCCCCTCAATGCCTTCCTCTCTGGGCTCCCACGCCTCTGTCGTCTGCTCCAGGAACCCCTGGGGCACAGGGCAGGCACCACCTGACCGCCACCCAGCTGCTCCGTGCCTGATGGGGGGCCAAAGACACCCGAGGTGTTTTTCTCTGCCGTCATCCTGTGCCCAGAATGGAGCCCCTCACTGCATGGGGACCCCGTGAGGCCTAGTAGGTGCCTGGGGACCCCGAGCCTGGGAGCGATGACCCAGCATGAGGACTGTGCTCAGCTGAAAGGTCCCAACCACACTGGCACCCACAGGGGCAGACTCCCAACAGCTCGACCTACCTGGCTTGGACAGCGGCATGACCCGTGGGAAATGGCGGCGTGAGGGTCTCAGGGGGCTGTGGAGAAAGAAGCACCCACGTGAGGCAACCCAGCGGGCTGGCGTCTGCAGGGGCCTGAGCTGGAGCAGGGAGCCCCGCCTGCCTTCCTCCCTCCCACGGCCCCCAGACCCGCCGGAGGCCCCACGGGACCATGAGAACTGGGCCAGGACCTGAGCACGTCCTTGCAGAGGGGCGGGAATGGGTGCTGCTGGTAGTGGCCGAAGACCTCGAACACGATGGGCTGGCTCTTGATGTATTCGATGAAGGACTTGGTCACCTCCACGGCAATCTGGTGGCAAGGTGGGCAGGGGATCAGAGGGGAGCATGGGGCCTCCATGGAGGGCCGAGCACTCCAGGCCCAGATGGAAGGCCCCATGGGCCTGAGGTCCGCTCCTGACAGGGACAATGCTCCTAGCCAAGGTCCTTCCAGCCCTGCCTCTCCTCCGTCACCACCCAATGGACAGACCACCAGATGGATGGCTTTGGTCTCTCTTCCCAGTACAGATGGGGTTGGGCCAGAGTGCTCAGCTACCCTTTCAGACCACAGAGCTCGAAATGGTGACCAAGGCCAGGGTGCCTCTGGGGTCTGGTCTGACCCTTCTGGGGCCCTAGCCCACTCACCAAGAGTTACGGGTTGAACTGTGTCTCCCTGGATCCCCACCCCAGTTCATAAGTTGCAGCCCTAACCCCCAGCGCCTGTGTTTAGAGGCAGGGTCTTTATTGAGGCCAGCAAGTTAGATGAGGGCATTAGTGTGGCCCTAACCCAATATGACCATGTGCTTACAAAGGGGGAAATCAGAATAGAGACAGGCCTATGAGGCCTCAGGGAGAAGACGGGCATGTATATGCTCCAGGACAGACTGGGACAGGTGTTCCCCTCGGGCCCAGAACAACCCTGCTCACACTTGACCTCAGGCACCTCTCCTCCAGACCTGGGAGGCGATAACGTTTAGGGCAGCCCAGGAAACAGCCAGCCATTGTGCACACTTCAGATCTGCCTTGTTTCCCAGCTGGGAAACCGTGGTCCACTGCCTGTCACCTGAGGGCCAGGACGGGCCAGTCTGCAGGGCCACCTGACCACAGCCTCTGTGACTGTGCAGGCCTCATGCCAACAGACTACGCAGCTCAGGGTCAAACTCCCCAGCCTGGCCCTGGAGTCCTCATCACCTGGCAGCTTTCATTATGGCCACATGTAGCACCCCCCACACACTGTCTGGTTACCCCTGCTCCCCGACCCCGAAAGCCCCCTGCTCTCCTGACAGCCTGGCTTGGATGCTCCCCTGCCTGGAGCTCTCCTGACCTCCCAGAGCCCTGCCTCCACCTCTTCCCATACCACACAGGCTGCCCGACTAGGCACCCCAGCCTCAGCACAGACCCTGGCCACCCCAGAAACTTGTTCCCTTCAGGGAGCTCTCTGGACTCTTACTGCTCCCACCCCCAGTCTTAAACCCACCGAAGGCCCAGTGCCCAGCAACAGCCCACACGTCTGCCTGGTGCCAGAGGCCCTGTGTCCTCCTGCCTGGCCGAGTCCAGCACATGCTGGCGACCGGAAGAGGGAGGAGGAACCATGGTGAGACTGGGTGAAGCTGTTTCAGGGAGGCCACGCGACCGGAAGAGGGAGGAGGAACCATGGTGAGACTGGTGAAGCTGTTTCAGGGAGGCCATCCACAGCCAGACCCTGGGAGGGCCACCCAGTGGCAGGGAGGAGGGCTCTGAGGACCTACATTCTGGACGTGGTAGAAGCCAAGTGGGGGGCCCCTCCCCGTGTTCTTCAGGGGCTCCGTGGAGAAGGCCTCATCATGGCGATGGATGAAGCTGCAAAGCAGGAGGAGACACTTGGCTGGGGTCACTGGGACACCATCCATGCATTGCTTAGAGCCTGCCCACCCGCCCCCTGGCCTGTCCAGTGGGGCTGAGCTCACTTGAACTGGCAGAAGATGTCAGCGTACTCCGCAGAGATGCTGGACGCCTGCAGGACGGTCACGCGGAAGGTGAAGGTGCTGCCCAGGCGCAGGTGGTCCAGGGCGGCATCCAGGGGCCCGTCCAGGGTGGCCTTCTCAGGGCTGTCTAGGAGGAGGCTTTCCGGAGGCACCGCTGCTGGGAGCCAAGGGCACAGCCATGTGACGGGACCCCCATGTTATGGGGGCGCTGGAGTTGAGGTCAGGCTTGGGGCCTGCACAGCCTCCCTCAGGGACTGGGCACGGGGAGGCGGCCTGGTCCTAATCACCCTAGGCCGGCCTGGAAGTGGAGGGACCTCCACACTACAGTGGGGCAGGGTCATGTCCAAGAGCCCCAAGCCCCGAGCAGCCACAGTGACCTACCTGAGCAGGTGTTGTTGTTGACCTCGTCGGCGGAGGGCCCCGCGTCTGCGCCCTGGCCCTGGCCTTCCACAATGCGCAGCTCTTCTTGGGAGGTCCCGGAACGAGACATCCCCACCACAGGGCAGGACTCGGACTGGAACTATGGGGGGTGGGAACCAGAGTCAGAGAGAGGGGGCTGGGTGGAGTCCCCACAGCCAGTCAAGAGGCCAGGAGAGGGGCCTGTGCTATCCAGAGTCAGGTGAGAACTTCATGGATCTTTGTTCCAGACCTGCCCCAGGGTGGGTGGGTACCTATCTCTGTAGGCCTCAGTTTCCCAGGCTGTCATGGCCTATGCTGATTCCATGAGTGGGAAAGGTCCTCAGTTCTGCCCCATCCAGGACCCTCCCGCAGCCCCTCCCACCATGGGCAGGATGCAGGTAACCTTTCTGCTTGGCTCTCAGGGTCCCAGCTGGGTTCCTGTGCCAAATGCCCACTCAGCCTCCTCTGCCCTGTGCTCTCCATCTCTGTTTGCCCTTTGACCTTCCTGTGCATCCCCAACATTGGTGAGCCCCTCAGAGAGGGACTGGGGGGCAGAGGGGCAGGCACACTGCCCTGAGCTCGAGGTGGTGGGCACTGAGGTTCAGGACAGGGTGGCAGGCGGCCGGTGGGGGTGGGACAGGAACGAGCCTGAGGGAGAGGAGCTGCTTGCCAGGTACCTTTTCGAAATGCTGGTCATCAAAGGAGATTTTGGCTGTTCCTGACTGGCGGACGCCCGAGCCATAATCAGGGGCCTCTTCATCGGCTAGAAGAGGAACCAAGCAGATGGTCAGGGCCCTGCTTGTCCCCAGGTGGTGTGGCAGAGCCAGGCTGAGCGGTCAGGTAGGGGGAGGGCACAGGAACCACCCCAGCCCCAACACTGCCAACTGCGACTGCAGGATGCCCAAGGCACCACCCTGGGCACGGCAACCACCAGCCTGTGCTGCCCTGGGGCCCAGAAGTGGCCACAGCCTCAACACAGCCTGCTTTGATAGGGGCCACAACCCTACATTGTAACCAAGCTTATGACCCCGCCCCTCTCTCTGAGTCTTGATCCCCCCCACCCCCACCGGCCTCCCCCAGACTCAGGGCAGAGCCCACCCACCAGGTCTCCTGGTTTCACCGTGGAACCCCACCTGTCCCTCTGCCACCACCCTTGCAAAGCCACTACGATCACCTGCCTGGGCACTCAGCGCCCCACACCCTTCCTTCAGAGTAGTCAGTGGTCTCCCCTGTGCTGGGGACAAAATCCAAACCCTTTTCCTGTTGCCTAAAGGCCCCTGGGCCCCAACTGCAGCCACTCTGGTTAGATGCAAATTGGGGATTCTGCCCCTCTGTTCAGGGCCTGCGAGGGTATGAACACCCTGAGCCCTCCAGCCCGGCTGTCCTATAGTTCTATCCCACCATCGCCCGGGGCCAGCCCAGGCTGTGCACAGCAGGCTCAGGGCTCAGTGCGAGAGATCAGGGAGCAGAGCTCTGCCACTTGGGGGTGGGGGCAGGAGTGACTTTTGTGACCATGAGGCTGGTTTTTTGGTGTGTTTTTTAGAGTTCCTTTTCCTCCACCATATCCACCAGACGGAGAATGTCAGGTGTGGTCCAAATAGAGGCAGTGTCACCCTATAAAGCAACCTGCTCAGGGGGACCCCACCAAACTGGGACAGAGCTGGTTAGGAAGGATGAGGAAGAGCCACAAACTGCTCCCAGCATTCCTGTCCTCTGTCCCCCTCCAGTGCCGCCCCCGCTCCCACCCAGGCTTCCTTCTTGGCAGGGTCCCCAGGGGCTCACAGCACAGAGACACAGCTGGGAGGGGCTGTGGGGTCCGAAGAGGGGTTCCCTGGACCAAGAGAGGCTCTGAGGGCCACTGTGGGCGGGGTCTGGGCAGCCAGTCCTGGGGCTGAGAGATAGCAAGTGGTGAGCTAGGAGAGCTTCTGTGTCCACCTGGTGCTGCCTGGTGGGAGGGAGGTCCGCTGAGCCAGGGGGAGCTCAGACAGCCCTGGGCTCAGCCTGCACAGCCTCAAAGGGCCTCGGTCACTCTGGGAGAGTCTGGGAGGCCAGAGCCAGGAGCTGAGCATGGGGGCTTCTCCTGGGGCCCCACTTGGAGACCAGCGGCTAACTGCCAGCTGGGGGTGGGGAGGAGACAGTGCAGGCGGGGGGACTGGTGAGGCTGGCAGCACACCAACCTCTGTGATGCCCGCAGAGGCCTCCCCGCCTGGGGCCTCTACCCGTGAAGGAGAGAGCCAGGCCCTCGGTCCTCACACACCTGAGATGGCCTGCACGGCCACACGGAGAAAGCCCTTCACCTCGCCCTTCTCGCTGACGATGGCCACTCGGTGCACCAGGGGCACGGGGTACAGCAGGTTGCTCAGGTACACGAAGGCCCTGGGGGAAGAGAGGCTCCTGTCAGGGCCAGCTTGGTGTGCGCTGCGAGCGGCGGTGGCGACAGTGCGGCCAAGCTCACGACACAACACTGCAAAGCGAGCGGAGCGCAGGGAGGCCGGGCAGCGGGCGGCGGGCGGGCAGGGGGACAGACAGAGGCCGAGGTGCTCAGAGGACACAGGAGGAGGCAGAGGTCGTGCGCTGGGGCAGAGGCAGTGGCCAGTGGGCTGGCACAGGGCACAGCTGGGGCCACACCTGCTAACTGACGAGAAAGCAGCTGAGGAGGGGTTCAGCCTGCTTCAAGGAGGAGGACCTGGGACCTGGCCACACTGAGCTACGACGCTGGCACTGGTGCCCTGACAGTCCCCAACACCCACCCACTTCCCCGTGATCCGACACTTATGGGCCCAGGTGCCGGAATAGGGCTCACAATTCCTCTGAGCTTCTAGGGACACAGTGGTGGGGGGTCCGTGGTGTCAGTCCAGACAGGGCACCAGCCCCAGCCCAGAGAAGGTTGGCTGAACGGACACCTGCAGACCCCACAGAGCTGTGTGCCATGGCCCTGCCAGCGACCCACAGAGCGCCCAGAGTTCTCCCTTGCCCTGGCAGTGCCCAGCTGGTGCCAGGACAGGCCAGACAAAGCTTGCATTACCCAGCAGCTACCACAGTCCCTGAGTCTGTCCATGTGCAAGGGTCACACGGGCAGCCAGGAAGACAGACAGGACCCTGGGGGCTGGGCAGGCTGACGTGGAACAAATCTCCCCCACTGTTCAGGGGCACCCACCCACATGAGCCCCTGGGGGCAGCCCCCCTCTGTACACTCCAGCAGAACTTGCCTCCACCTGCCCTGCCCTCCAGCAGGGTCCACAGGTAGCTCCTGCTCCAGCCCAGAGATGCAAACATCATTACCCTGAGCTCCTGGGGGCTGGGGGTGGAGGGGCAGGATTTGGACATAGGAGGGAGGGAGGTGTTGGGGAGGATGTGCACAGGGTGGGGTGAGGGAGGCCCAGGGTCCCAGAGTGGAAGATGGACAGACAAAGGCTAGAGCAGCAGCAGGGTGCGGTGGTGGGGGGAGATGGGTGAAGGAAGATCAGGGTCTGCTAGCCAGGTGGGTGCTGGCACCCAGGTGCATGGCCGAGAGCAGTACAGGGCAGAGTGGGGAGAAGCTGGGAGGGGAGAAGAGTGGTGTCACCCGTCACCCTTTCGCTCAGCTTGCTTGGAGGTCAGACACCACCCACACAGCCACTGGCCTTGCCCCACACTCTGAGGTCCAGGACATCCCTCTCTGGACCTGCTGTGACCGCAGCACATGCCTGGTAACTCGGACTCCAGTCCTGCAGCCCCCTCAGGTGGGGCTCCTAATCTCGACCTCCACGGCCTTGCTGGTCCTCCTCCAGCAGGTCAAAAACCTGAAACCATCTTATCTTTCAAACCCATCAGTTCTACCTCAGAAGGCTCTCCGAAGTCCTTTGGCGGGTCCATTACCACCGGCCACCCTCCCGCTTCCCCCATGGCCTCCACAGCATCCCAGGAGTCGTGGGGTGCAGATTAGACCCCACCTCGATGACACACAATCTCCTTGCTTCACCTGCAGCCCTGCTGCCCAGCCCCTATTCCAGCCACATGGGTCCTAAGTCCATCCCTGGCCCTGGTTACAAGATGAAACTGAGGCCCAAATACTGGTAGCCCCTTGCCATTGTCACACAGGGCACCTAGCAGGCAGGGACTGAAGGGGGCAGGCTGATGGGCTGCTCCCGGCAGCTGCCTCGGAGTGGGGACAGTGGTGGCCTTCCCACCCCAGCACCTGGCTGGCCAAGGGCCTTTGCTTGAAATCGGGGTTACTTGAGGGGGCATACCTCCTCTTATGGGTTAAGTAAGGGCACGGGGGTCCTTAATTAGTACAGCCTGCAGAAAAGAGAGGTTAAGGGCTGCCAGGGCCTCCCAGCCAGCAGGGAGAGCTGGGATGAGGGCCACCTCAAAGCCCCCTGCCGGCCCAGGTCCAGTGGGCCCTTGTGTCCCCGAGACTCCGATCAGCCCCTTGGGGGCCTGAGATCAGCTGGGGCCAGCACTGGGACATCTGCTGGCTCCTTCCTCCTAATCCGGGTCCACCTGGCCATGGTGATGGACACATTCAGCCAGAAGGAACCTCTGGGGCCCGGGAGCCACGGCACCAGCCTCAAGGGACTGCAAGCTAGGGCTCAAAGACCCCACACCCCGTACAGAGCCACCTCACAACAGCACTAGACATGAGGGGGTGGGGCCATGGGGCAGAAACAACCTGGCATTAGCATGGGCCACCGTGGGGACGCCCTGCCTGCACACACGGCAAAGATCTGGGTTGAGCAGCCCGGTACACAGAGTACACCTGGCTGATGGTTTGGCCTTGCCAGCCCAGGTGGCAGAGTGCATGGAGCAGCTCAGCGTTTTCCCACCCAGAGTCCCAGACACTTCCCTTGGGCAGTCACCTCTGTTCCCTCACCCAGTCCCTCTTTTCCTAGGACCCCCCACCCCAATTCCTGAGAGTGGTGGTCTGGGCAGAAAGGATTATAGGGGGAAACACTCCCTCTGCTTGGTCAGCCATCCCCCAATTCACCCAGCACCCCAGGCTGCCAACGGGAGATGCCCCCTGGGGGGCGGACCCTGGGCGTGGGTAAGGAGGCTGGGTCAGGACGAGGGAGGCCCAGGCTGGGGGCCTTGTCCACGGAGGTGAGCACACCTTGAAGCAGGCTGAAACCCGCCCAGAGAGAGGAGGTGGCAGAGACGCAGAGCCAGAGCTGTGTGGCGGGAGGGAGGAGGCAGCGCTGACCACGAGATTGGTGAGGTGCAAAGATGCATGCTGGGCCAGGAAAGCCTTTCTGAAGGGAGATGAGAGTGAGTGCCCCAATTCTGCTTAAGCTTCGGAGAGAGCCGGCAGCTACCAGAGGATCCGAGGAAACCACAGCCGGGTCCTTCCCGGGGCCCGGCCCACAGAGCTGCTGAGCGGGGAAAAGCCAATTCTTGCCAAACAAAAAGATCAGGACGGTTCCAAAAGAAGCCCTCCTTGGACCGCCCACAGGCAGGGCCGGCCTCTCAGGGGCGGCTTTGCTGTGGTTTGGTTGTTTCCTGACATCTCAGACCCACACGGGGAAGTGCCGGAAGGACCCAGCTCTTTCTGGCTGAGACTGCAAGAACCCACCCCCATTTCTCCCCGAGTCCTCGCCCCCCTGTGCCCTGTCCCATGCCTACCTGTCACCTGAGTGCCTCCTGGGCCCAGCAGGCCAGAGGGCCTCGCCCTAGTGGCTGGGCTTTCTGAGGCTCCACTCCCTCTCGGGCTCTGCAGACCGAAGCCCAGGCATCTCAGAGGGAGAGCCACTTGCTTTTATCCAGTAGGCCAGCATGTCACTCAAGGGACCCTAATTAGAATAAACCCAGGATGTGTGCCCATGGCAACCTGCTTTGTTCCAAGAGGATCCGTGTGAACCCCACTCTCTGAGGCCGCTGCAGCCCACAGCTGTCAGTACTGGCGCTCAAGGCCAAGGCTTCCGAAACCTCCACTGGACTAGCTCAAGCTCCAGAAGCGGCTGCTGCGAAAACCATCTCACACCTTTTCCTACTGTAAACATGTAAATTCAGCTGCTTCATGAGCTGCTTCTCCTCCCACAGGAGGCTTCTAGGTCTTTCTTTCACCAGTCAGGCTTGCATTCCATGATGATAAACAAAAGTGACTGGCAGCTGTATCTGCCTGACCTCGGCCTCTCTTATCCACCCAGGACACAGCACTGGGCTCCTCTCTGCAAAGGGCACTTCCTGTGCGGGTGCAGGGCCGTGTGTCTCTGGCCATGATGGCCTGGGAGGTCAGAGGACAAACAGTCCTCACCTTTAGACAGAGACAGGCTCAGAGAGAGGCAGGGTCTACAGGGCCCCTGCTTCTGAGGGAGGTCCTCCCACTGCTCGAGCGCAGCCCTGCTCCCTGCCCTGCGGGACAGCTCCCCATGCTCTGCTCCTTTCCCTAGAGGCCCCATCTCATCAGGACAACAGTGGAGGGTGGGGAAGCTGCCTGAACTGGTGGCGGGTCTGATCCCCAGGACCACGGGGACTTGAGGGCAGCCTGCCCCCTGCTTTCCAAATGTCCCCAGTGGGAGTCCTGCTCAAGGATTTTTTCCAGGGTCCAGCGGCCACCTCCCGGGTTCTAGGCCCTCTCTGAAGTGTGTTCCCCTGCACAGAGCTGGCGGCCAAGCTTCAGGAACGCAGGCGCCCTGGAGCTCCTCAGGCCCCCTCCTGCAAGGCCAGCCCCTTGGCCCGTGGTCACGCCCTGAGGGCGGTCAAATTGTGCCCACAGCAGTGCTCCTGTGCAAAAGAGCTGGTTCCTTCCCAGCATGCTGTCCTCGACCTCACCAACCTTCCTACTAAACTGAACAGGGGGGGCCGGTCGTAAAACGGGTCCCGGCCGTGGCACAGCGCGTGCTCCAGAAAGACGTCGTCCTCCAGGTCCTCCTCCTCCTCCTCCTCCTCCTCCTCCTCCTCCTCCTCCTCCTCCTCCTCCTCCTCCTCCTCCTCCTCCTCCTCCTCCTCCCCCAGGCTCTGCTCCTCCGCAGGCTCGGTGGTGTCGGAGTCGGGGCTCGAGGAGGGGGGGGAGGGGGTGAGAGCAGCCATGCGCGCGCTCATGCACGTGTTGAGAAGAGGGTAGCTGCTGCAGCCAGAGATGACTGAACTGAGGTTAGTAGGACAAGACAGAGAGAAGTTAACACCAGCCTCGCGCAGGGCACACAAGGGCAGGGGCTTCCAGTTACACCCAAACCAAACACACAGACCACCAAGAACTGCCTTCAAAGACGAGGACCGAAAGGGCACCCCGTCCCAGGCTCAGAAGGAAACTGCATGTGTGGTCAGTGGACGGTTCCGGAAGGTCCTGGAAGCACCGGTGGAGTGATCCTGCCGTGGTATGGCTGAGGTCATGTGAAGACCTCATGTGCTTGGACATCTGGAGGCCTCTGAACACCACGTCCGTCCCGCAGGGCGAGGGGCTGGGCACAGACCCAGGCCAGGAGACCAGGGACAGGAGGCCTGGGTCTGAGGCTCTGGGTGGCACGGCCCTGTGTCCCCACTCCCACCACAGCCACCAGGTGACCTGGGGACTCAGACTCAGCCTCACACATTCACACACGCGGACCCGGGTGACTTGGTGGCCACGCCTCACAGTGGGCGTGGGGACAATGCTGGGAGCCCCCCATGGTCCCTAAATAACAGGGGTCGGACCAGGAAGGACCAGGGCGGAGAAGTCAGGACGGGAGCAGGGCCAGTCGGGGTCCTGCCTTGGGAGGCTCCCGCCCCCCTGCCCTCTCTTCTCTTTCAATCTCAATCTCTCTTTCTCTCTCTCTTTCACTCTCTATCTCAATCTCTCTTTCTCTTTCTCTCACTCTCTCTCTCTCGCTCTGTCTCAGCCCAGGGAGGGAGGTGCCCACCTGCCCACCAGCCGGAACCAGGGGAACCGGTCGTAGAAGGGGTCTCCGCCAGTCACCACGTTGTCACAGTCCTCGATGACGCTGGAGGGCACCTCGGCTGCCCGGTCATACATCTCCCGCATCAGGTCTAGGCGCTGCCTGCAAGGGTGCAGAGGTCAGTGTGGGAGCAGTGGGGACGGGCACTGCCTTGCACACCCTCTCCCAGCTCATGCCCTCTTTCCACCAAGAAGGGCCCAGGAAGGGCCAGTCCATGCTCGCCTCCTCTGGGACTCAGCTCTGGCCACAGCATCCCGCTCAGGATTGTCTGAGGCCCAAGCTGCTTTCCTGACAGCCCTCTAGGTCCTCAAAATCGGTCACTGAGCAAAGGACTTCCAGGTAAACAGACGAGGTCACCACTAACTCCTCCCAACTCTGGCCAGGTAGCAGCAAGGTGGGGCAAGCAGGCAGGATAGCTGGAAACCAGCGACAGGGAGGTAACCCTTAGCAGGGGCAGAAAAGTGGGGAGAGAACCCCCAGGAGAACTGGCATGGGGACCTCAAGATGCTCCAGGAATAAAGGGCAAATTGGTGATAGGATACAGAAAATGATATTTAAACAATTACTACCCCCAGGAAACCCACAAGTTGAGGAAGAAAGAAAATGCAATCATTTCCCGCCAGCACTCAGGGGTAACATGAATGAATGAAGGGTGAACATTTATCCAAACATCAGCCTGCAGCCCTGGGAGGTGAGGAGGGCTGTGAGTGCGAGTGTGTGTGCCTGGGCAGGGGCGGGGATTACTGTGTGTGTGTGTGTGTGTGTGTGTGTGTGAATGAGCCATACAAGAAAGGTGTGTGAGAGTCTATGAATGTGCAGTGTGTGCTATATTAATTATATTTTATTAAAGGCCTGGTGCACGAAATTCATGCACAGGTAGGGTCCCTCAGCCTGGCCGGTGATCAGGGCCTAACTGTGGGGTGACTAGCAGGGTGATTGGGGGTCCCCCGCTGGCACCCGCCTTGGCTGGCCGGGGGCCTGTGGGCTGGGGGCAGCTCCTTCATTAAGCATCTGCCCCCTGGTGGTCAGTGCGCATCATAGCAACTGGCCATTCCACTGTTTGGTTGATTTGCATATTAGGCTTTTATTATATAGGATGATGTTTTATGATCTTTGGGGCCCTTGCTGGCTGGGGAGGATGCCCCTCCCAGGGCCAGCCAATTCTCAGACAGTAAACTCTTTGGGGGTGAGTTTTACACACACACAGCCACCCCCTTAGCTGACATACACCCAGCCAGTGCCCCTGCGCTCCATCAGCCCAAGGCCAGATACCAGGCAACTAGGGGCAGCCCTGTCCTCGCTGTCCACCCCGCCCTGCTTTGCCCATGAAAACCCCGTAGGGCCGTGGCCGAGGCCTCTCCCTCGATCCTGTCTCCCTTCTGCCGTCCTGTGCTCCCCCCGGCATTCCTCTCATTTCTAGGGACTGTGAGTGACATTAAACTTTTCTTCAGTGGCACTGGCCTGTTGTGTCTCAGTCACCTTTATAAGTTAAGGGCAGGGCACATGTCACACACACAGTGAGCGTGTGGGGACCAAGGAGGTGGCCTGTAGCAGCCCCAGCAGCCCCCTCCGGCTTCTCAGGCCCTGCGTGCTCATCCTGTGCCACCTCCCTGCAGCTCCCATCACCTCCTCCACAAAGACGTACTACACGTTCCACTGCATTTGTGGAGGGAGAACCGGGCCCTGTATGAGGCTGGGTCTCAGTCACTGTTTGCTTCTGATTTTCAAAGAGATTAAGACAGGAGAAAAAGCTGCACGGACAGGTGTCCCCATACAATTGGTGCCCACCCCCCTTTTGGTGGTTCCCCATCCCCAACGTCCACTTCCGCCACCACCCGCCACACCTGAGCTTCTCCAGCGTCCAATAGTGGGTGGCCCCGTTCTTCTGGTCCTGCACCTCCACAGCCACGATGGTGCGGGGGAAGGGTCGCGTCTCTCGGTCTTTGGCAGCCTCTGGGGGCAGCAGGTCGGGAGGCAGTGGGGAGTAGAGTGTGTCCGTGAGGAGGACAAACTGGAACTGGACCTGCGACAGGCACAAAATGACCACCCGTCAGCCCTCTGGTGGGCGGGAGCCAGGGCCCGGGAAGGGCTTCCTTCCCACCTCCCATAATCACGCTGCACATGGGAATCTCCCCACCCACCACCGGAGGGGGCTACACCTGCCCACCTGCCTGCCTACTGAGCCGGGAGCCACATCACCTCGGTCAGTTCCCTGCCTCCCTCCCATCCCCCCGCCCCCCACCCAGGGGCCCAGGCCGGGCAGCACCACTCCACCATGCCCGGAGCAGAGGAGCCCAGTGTCAAGTCCAGCCGTAAGCAGGACAGGTGATACCCTCCCTCCAAACCGCCGGTGGGCCCACCTTCTTCTTGAGCTCCACGCTGATGGCGTTGGCCTCCTTGAGGAAGATAGCGTTGCCCCAGAGCTGGTCCCGCAGCGACGTGAACTGGTACCACCTCCACTTCCGGAAGGCCCACAGCGCCAGCTCGCACTCCCTCTCCGTCCACGGGACTGTGGGGAGGGGCCACACGGTCATCGAGGCCACGCCACAACATCCTGCTCTGGGTCGGGGCCAGGGGCTCTGTGTCTGGGTCCCCAATCTCAGCCTAATTGTTCTGGGTGCTCAGAAAGAAGGAAACTGGCAGGAAGCGGTGATATGAGCCGTGTAATATGAAAGGAGGCTCTTCGGGCCCCAAGAAGGGCAGTGCGTGAGCATCGTCCTGGGCCATCCTGAGTCGGACTGAAGCTTGGTGAGGACTGAGGGGCCAGCAGGAAAATGACAGGCACTCCGCCACGTGGGGAAGGAGTGGGACCGGGACTGCCCTGCACACCCTCTCCAGCTCACGCTCTCTTTCCACCAAGAAAGGCCCAGGAAGGGCCAGTCCATGCTCCCAGGCTCAACCCCTCCTCCCAGCGACTCCTCCCACCTAGAGCCCTGCCTTTTGGAGCTCCAAGGGCCCTCATTGGGTGGATGAGTCCAGACAAGGGGAAACCAAGGTCACATCCACACAAAGGTGCTAACCCGCAGACCAGAGGTCAAGCAGGATGTGAACTCCATGGCTACCCTTGGGCCCCACAGCAGCATGAGGGCAGCCGATGGGCCACCTAAGCAAATGACCCAAGGTGAGGAGCAGTGACCTTGTCTGGGGGGAGCTCCAGCCTCCAGGTGGTAGCACAGGGTGAGTGGACACAGGACACCCTCCCCATCCTCCCCATGGTCCAGGCTGCTGCCTCCAGAACCCCATGTGTTTGCACACGCGTGTGCCGCTTGTGGGGTGCTTTCCTGCTGCAGCACAATCTCCCTGAATCCCGCCTCCCAGGGACAAGGCCTCTTCCCAAGGAATAGGCAGGACCCCAGGGCAAAGATGCAGACCAGCTGACCCCAGGAAGTGCCCTGGGGGCTGCATGTTCTTGGAGACCCAGGCCTTGCCCACCAGCAGGTTGGGGAGCCCTCACCTTCGTCTGGCTCTTCCTCCTCCTCGTTCACCTCTGGGAAGTACCTGGACTCCATCTGCTTCTGCAGGGCCTCCAGCTTGCTCTCATAGTCCTAGCACAGAAGCAGGGACTGTGACTCCCCCTGGGACCCTCGAGCTGTGGGCCCCAGGCCTGCCCAGTGGGCCCAGACATGGACCAACACAGCGATGGCTTGGGGCAGTGGAGAGTAGGGCTGTTTGCAAAGCAGGGACCTGGCTCACCCCACCCAGGCTCACCCCACCCAGGCATCGTGTGGGGCCTGGGGGCCAGGGAGTGGCACTCTCACCAGCCTTTGCTGCTCCAGCAGGTAGGTGGCCTCCTCCCTCTCCCGGCGGTACTGGTCCTCAAGCTCCTGGAGCCTGCAAGAGCAGGGGTGGGTGACTGTGGGGGTGGGTGAGTGTTGGGGT